TGGAATAATTTAGAATCTAGGTCTAAAATGAGTACACGAGAACTAAATAGTTTGATCTGAAGTCAGCACAATATCTTAATATGCATCAGATTTTCTCGTGTTAATCACAATAGCAATCTTTTATATTCAAAACTCACAGAAGAATCCAATTAAGCACAGGAAAAAGGGCAGTACACTAGAGTGAGGGTGAGTTCTTTTTTCAATATTAAGTAAATTTTTTTTTTCCTCTAACACAAGCTAAGATTGCAAGTTAAAAGACTGAGCAAGATAGCTAGTAGTCAGTAGGAAATGAACAACTATCCATGGAGGTGGTCAAGATAAGGAAAGACAGTACTGGGCTGGAATTAAACAGCGTGAAATAACTGAAAAGATTTGCTCATCTGTGTAAGACTTTCAGATACAAAAGCTTTGTTTGTGATTCAGAGAAACAAAATAGGAATTGAAAGTTCAGAGAAAATGTTTTCTGGATTCTTTGATCTGGAATTTGGTCTAAAGAAGCAGTTCTTCCAGAGTTTTACTAAGCAGCTTTCATAAGAAAAGAAGCATTTTTCTAACGAATCAATTCTACTTCATATTCTTCCCTTGCACATGTCCTGTATAAGGAATTACTTCTCGGAGCACCTTCATCAGCACAGCACTCCTAATGTGTTTTCAGGTACACTCTCGTTATTTTCTTCAAGAGAATAGAGACACTCAAATAATCCCCTCCCAAAACACACTGACCCACCAGTCTCCTTCATTTCTAGAGGAAGGGAAAAGTGCAGGTGGAATACTGAGCACCTCGGAGCCCACCATGTCACTACCATGGATGCTGGTACTCATCTGCATCAATGATTCTCCCAGGTCTTTTCTCATACACAAAGACTGCCAGTAACAGTCATAAGACAGTGAGTGTGGTACAGACATCCAGGTCTCTCTTTGGATACTGCAGTTGCCTATACTCCGCTTTTTTGATTTAGTCTTCTATCTTGAAGAATGTAACAATCCTTACTTGAAGTTGTTTGTTCTTGGTGTCAGAAACAGTTACCTCTCTAAAGGAAATAATATTTGGGTCCTATTAATCTTTTGTGCTGCTTTCACCCATAGCAGCAGTTAATAGCTACAGTACGGAGAATTAAATTATCTCTTAAATTTATATGCTATCCATAAATTCAAACAACATCTTCCCTGCAGTTCACTTCCCATACCATTCAATATCCCCTATTTTTACCCCAAACCTTAAAAATGCTGTAGCATTTAACTTTAAAATGGAAGATGATGCAGAAATAGTGGAGTATTTTTTAAAATTAGAACACAACATTGTGATCATAATAGGGACTACCAAACATGTAAATACATTATCTTCTTCAAAAGCACTGTACTAAGTAAAAAAAGAAATGTAGTGGGGATTAAGCCCTAAAAACACAATGTAACCTTATCTTTGACAGGTGCATTATATCTACTGCTAGCACACCTAAGGCTTCCTGTCTAGTTTTCATTTTAGCAACCTTTGTCAGCTTGTCATACCTGTACATTTTGAACTGAAGTGCAAGATAAGGAGAGGAGCTTCTTTTCAAATAGAGAGATAACTTCTTTTCAAGTATTTTAAGAGCTGATAAGGCAGCTACAGCGTTCCAGGAAGCCTTGGGATGTTATAGTGAAATAAAAGTCAAAAGCTACAATATGCATTTGGTGCATATGCATGTATAAAATTGTTTGCTGGCACCTATCAATCTACGCAGAATAACCACCTGCAGAAGGATAGTCCAAATTAGTGGCCTTGAGCCATCTAAGACTGTCTGTTTTCTCCCTAGGTCTTGGTCACATTCAGATTTACACAGGGGAGAAGCTACAGGACAAAATAACATGCAAATATGTATAGGTAAAGCCAGTGGTTTCTTAAAAAATTACAGGTTGCAATACAGAAATAAGCACACACAATTCGTTCTCTATGTGTATCAAATACGAGGTGTTTCCACTGCTACCATTAGCAGAACTGAATGTAATTTATGCATGTTCAGGTAATCTCTAAACTATGTAGATCAGGTTTTGTAGCTCTTTTAACTAAGACAATGCAAAAATTCAGGCAGGCTGCAAAACTTGAGGGAGCAGCAAGGGCCAGTATCTCACCATATATACGATCACTGTGAGTTTCAGACTACTGTTAGAATGGGACTGATGTTTAATTTAGCTGGTTATAGTTGAAACCAAAATTAAGTTTAGTCCTTTAAATACTTACTCAGCAAAGAACTCATTGAAATGTCAAAAGCAATAACCCTAAACTTTAAGTTCCAATTTAATTTTTCAAGTCATTTTTTCCTGAAATCATACAGTAATTATGTATTATATTTTTGACAGGTTTCCTGCAGAAACCATTTCACTTTTCCACATACCCCTACTTCAAGGAATCAGAAGAACTCTAAGGTTTGTTGCTTGACCATGTTGTTGCTCTTTATATGCTTTTGGCTGCAAAATCAATTGGTTTTCCTTTGCTGGTGTCTTTTCTAGGTGATGGGGATTTGCAGTGTTGGTTTTTTCCTCCACCTTTAGTGAAATTTACTGTAGTGTGTTTTGGGTCATGAATCACATAATGAAAAAAAGAGGAAAGTTTATGATAGGGATCTCTTTACAGCAGCATGCTACCTATGACAGCCTTGCCAGCACAGACTGTCTTCCCAAGTGTATGTTAGATACACCTAACATTAGATGCTAGGTCATTTTCCTAAGGAGATAACAAAAACAAAAGCATACAAGAGCCCTCTGAAATTACATTATACACAGGATTTGCATAACTGCTGAAAAGAAGGCTGAAGAGATGGGAGAACACAAGATGAGCAGTGTTACAAATCACATTCACATGAAAAAAGAATATGAAAATCTTACCTTCAACTGATTTCCAAACTTTTAGGGAATGACTTAACTGCAGTCTTTTTTTATCACAAAACAACGGGGTTTTTTTTAGTGTTTACTCATATTTCTTCCTCCCTGCTTGTATAAGCAAAATCTAGGAAATCACTGGCAGTCCTAGAATTGCAATGGTTTTATTTCATATGTACTGGACAGACATAATAGCAAAGATTATACAGACAAAGCAGCTCATACAGAAATCAAAAAGCTTTTTACCTACTAAATTTTTCACTAGCAGAAACAGCAATTTGGTTTGTGACTAAAGCACTACCCTGAAAATCAGACTTTATTCCATCTCTAGTTTGCTCTGTGATCTAAAATTAGATTATTTCAATGACTCGTCTCAGTTTTTCCTCCTTAGGAGAAAATAAAAATCAAGTCTCCCTTGCAAATGTTTGGATTTAAAGGTGAAAAGTGCCATGCAGGCATATTATTATAAAAATCACATGAAATAGGAATGATCAAATGGGTTTTAAAAGTCAATGAACATTCAGAGTTACTATAACACATTCTTGTCATACACAACAGTAACATTTACAAACAGCTTATACCCAAGGAATCGACAATGGAAAGAATTAAAGGAAAGAACATGGAGTTGGTGGACTCCTCTCTATAGAAACTTAGAGGGCATAAAGTCACTCACAAATGCTTTTTCCATGCAGCAAATATAATCATATTTTAACATTTATAACCAATTTTAAATTAAGTATATTTTGCAACTCCTGTGTAGTTTGCCTGAAAGTTCTTATCAGCCAGACACCTAAAGAAGTTATTTTTTTCTAATGTAATTACAGATGAGATTCAAATGAAATATTAAAATAAATCCTTTACATGAGAGAAAATATATTTTAATAGAGAATTAAAGATAAAATATTTGTCCCTTCCTACTGCCAGGAAATACATCAAGAAACAGTATCTTCTCTGACGTTGTAAAACTTGCCTACAAATCAATGAAAAAAAGTAACTTCCTAGAGAATAACAACACTTCCTTCAAAGCTTAGTTGACTGAAATGGAATATATTTTTTATTAATCTCCTTGCACACACTTACAAAACTAGAGAGGCTGCATTGTTTATTTCAGAAGAACTCATACATATAAGCATGATTTTAGAAAGTTCACATGCAATGGATGTTGATAATTTTTTTCTATATTTTAGTATCATTTACTTTCACCCAACCGCACACAAGAAAATTATTCAAATTACAAAAAAAAAAGCTTACTGGAATGTTGATTTTATCAAGTTTTTTTCTAAATTCCACTTTGTAAAATTAACAATCAATCTTTAAAAAAAAAAAATGCAAAATACTGATTCTTAAAAGGGATATTTGTGGAACTTAAATATAAAAATTATCAATTTCATAAAATACAAAAAGCTTGAACATTTTTTAAACACTCAATGTTTCTAAAATATTATGGAGCTGACAAATTGACATAAATTTAACACAGGTTCGCTCTAATTTAAAAAGTGGTTCTCTAAAATAAATCAACAATTCCCTAGTGCACTTATAAAGAGAAAAGATCAAAAGCAGTAACTGGTATCTTTCCTTCCAGTGTTAATTAGTAATTAAAAATCTTAGCTTCATTAGTACCTACTCTGAATTTTTTTTATTTTTTTTTAATAAGGGAAGGGAATGTTACACAGACAAATCCAGCAACAGAAGTAATGAAAATTAACCAGTTTTGAAACTGTTTGCCTTCATCACAGTTAAAAAAGGATATCAGACTCCATTATTTGCTTTTAAATAAGCACCTTCCTTGAAGACTTCAGCTTTCATTTGGTCTTGAGTTGCACGTAGTTTCATGTATTGCATAATTCTACTGGCCAAGTAACATCCTTTGTCTGTGACAGTTCAGGTATTTCTGATATTTTAAGTAGATATAAAAATATTAGAATCGGTGCTTGAGTACAGTACAGAAGTTGACAGCTCCTAGGGTTTGGATTGACTTCAAGTCTTGAAGAATTTCCTGTATTTCGAGCCAGGGGGACAGGATAGGACTTGTCACTGTTTCAAAACCAAGCAGACTAAATGAAAGTCCCTTTATGTATTTCAAGTGTCTTCCATTTGTAATTTACGCGACGTTTCCTGTACTGATTCCATTTTCTCTTACATTATCACAGCTCAATACTCTCTGCATACAAGGTAATCATCAGTATAGCAGTAAACCCCGTTAGTAAACCAGCATTCTGAATGAGGAAGAATGTGAGATCCATCTTTCTTCCTGTCACTTTATCTCGCAGCATATCATTCATCTCTGGGAACTGAAAAAAGGGATATTTTTAAGTAAGTATTGCCATCTCGTGGTAGCATGCATAACTAATGTAAAGCATTAAGAACTGAACCATATTTCTTCTCTGGACTGAATATTATAACTAACAGAAGGTGAAGGCAGTCACAGAACAGGTCACCCTAATTACCCTGAAAAACCACTTCACCAAGGACGTAAAATGAAATGGTGTTTTGTTCCTCTCTACTGTGATTTCACCTGGTTCCCCCACATGCAAATTTCCTGGCTTTGATACCAGCAGTCTCCTAGTCTCCAATTGTTGGTCCATATGTTGCTAGGAGCAGCTGCCCTTGTGTTGCTAAATATTGCGTTTCTTTCTTCACCAGTATAAACAGATAAATCCTTGTCCAGGAAGTGGAAGATTAGGATTCTTCGGCTTTATCTATAAGCAAATGAAGTGAAGCTGAAAACACAGACAGCCTCTCAGAAATAAGAAACCTGTTACAAACATCAGGTAACCTGTCACAAATAGTCTGGTGGGCTGGTGAGGCAGCGATACAGCAAGGAAGAAAGCAGAATGTTGTGAAACTGGTGGTGAGACATGCAACATTACATTACAGTGCAAGGAAGGGGTTCTTCATTCCATAACACGCACCTTAATGGGAACGTAACAGCAAAGGATGAGTGATCTGCTCTTAACTGCAGAATCAAAAGACACCTCCTCTGAGAGCCAGTGGAGGTGATGGCAGATGAGCACTGCCGATAAAGGTCCCCTGTACGGGGTGATCCAGGGCATGTCTTTGCTGCAGATAAAGGCAGTTGCAGTGGATTTTGACAAACATACTCAAGCTTTAAACTCTTATCCTGTTGTGCTGAGAGCAGTATAGCCAGAATGCAATGAAGACTGTATACTTGAGTTCTTGTTTAGAAACTTTCAGGCTGGGTGACTCAGAAGCCTTATCTTTCTCTGATCTCACAGGGCACAAACAGCCATTGAAGGTAATGCAACTCTTGAAGAACAGACTAAGGTTAGTGGGAAGTGGCCAAACCTTCCCAGAAATCATTCCAGAGCTCTGTAATCCTCTTGCACAAGAGGCAAAGACAAGAAACCAGATCAGCTTCATGCCATGCAGCAAGACTCATTTGTGTGCACACCCCAGTGTACACATTCTCAACATGCCCACAGTCTCACCACAGAGTGATCTTAATGGCAGAGCTTGTCTAAGCCAATACTGGAGGAAAAAAGAACAGCAAAAAGAAAAGAAGGAAGGAATGACATTCGAGTTAATCCTACCTGCTTCTGGACAAACAAACCAGAAGTGTGTGAAAATCATAACAGAAAGGAGAAAGCCAGATCTCTACAGAGCACTTGAAAACCCTATTTCAGACTTTTCAGGGGGAAGAAAAATTCAGCTAATGGATACAATCCAAAAACCTATAAAAAGAGAGAGAGACGGAGGGGTAGGGACACAACACAGAGAAACAGAGAGAAAAGAACAACAGATACAAAGAAAAGAATGTTACCTACTTTGATTAATGTAGTAACAAATTTAAGTTGAGGTACTCTAAATTTATGCCATGACTTTTACACATCATAGTTGAGTACTATTCGTTATATGAGTGAAATTATATGAAAACCATTAGCAATTAAGGTACTACAAATTTGTAAAATAAACTGTTTAAATTGTTCATTTAATTTTATTACTTATTTAACCCTATATTATTACCTAACCTATAATAGCATTTTATGAAATAGTCCTCATAACTACATGACAGTTCTTAAACACATATAGACCCAAAATATTTGTGGGTTTCAAATCTTTCCAAATTCAGGCCTCACTATTCCAGTTCTACCCTCAAAAGGATTTTCACGTGGCAAGTATAAACACCTTTGTAGATACAACTGCTCTTACGACACTGAATTAAACATAAAATTTAAAATTCTTGAAAGATTTAATTCATTTTGAGAGAAAACATCATCATATGATTAATTTATGAAATAGTACTGACTGCCTGTGAACCCGGATTTTATTTCCCAAGTCTAAATCTGACCTGGACCTTAGCACAATTTCTTTGGCTTCTATCCTCTAGCATACTTTAAAAAATAACTGATAGACAGACTGTTTTGAATAAAGTTCAATGAATCTTTTAGGCTGGACCAAGGAACTAGGTCTTGCACTGTTTAATTTAAACCAGAATAGAATTTCAGTTAGGTTTTTCACCTAAACAACCCCAAAATTTTCACTGTTTACCTTTTTTATTTTTTTTTTTCTTTCAAAATGTAGTTTAAATAGACAAATGAACCTTTGAAAAATAGTGAGGTGAAATACTTTTTCACTTTAAAATACTGAAACAAAGTTATTTATACACTAGTTGATAAAACCAGACTAAATGCATGTAAAGCTTGTCTCTCTAAAACTCCTTTTCATAATAATCTGATGAGCCCTATTTGTGCTGTGGAAGGCTTTCATGTTTCATGAATAAGCATAACTATTTGTGCGTCTCCATTAAGGGCATAATTGATGATTTAACGTCTAATAATAAGTAGATAACACTGGCATGAAAGGGACAAAATGCTAAATTCTACTGCAGATACTTAGTACCATCTTTGTTTCCTTGCAGAAAAAGAAATATCTGAGAATGAAATCATATCTCACCATATCTGCCAGAGAGATGTACAGGAACATTCCACCGGCCACGGCAAAGATGATGTTAGGAGCAAAGTTATTACCTACTACTATCCCAAAAGCCAGCCCAATGTAACAGGAACATGCAGACAGAAAGTTGAAAAACAGAGCCTGCCGAGTACTCATTCCTGCATTCAGCAAGATGACAAAATCCCCTAAAAGAAAGAAAGAAACAAAAAAATCTTCAGAAAACAATATTGTGAATATTTTCTGATTCCAAAGGAAGTCTGAAGAAAAGACATGATTTGTACACAAATTACAACCTCCTGCTGCTTTTCTTCATTCAAGCAAATGATGAGGGTTTCCCTTCAATACCAAGGTAACTGAAATATTCTAAAGCAAGTACGTGCATTTATGCAACTACGTGCAATTAACGCATAACTGAGCTAAGAGCAGAGGAACACTGAATTACCTATAATGATTTAAAGTAAATACAACAGTGTCTATATGAACAGGGTAACTAATACCTCTAATATATATTCCCAGCTTCCACCCACCTGCACTTGGGAACTTCATGTGCTAGATGTCTATTTTGGTGTTTGGGAATTTTTCAGTGAAAATTTTGCCCATTAATTTGACTAAACTTTCTCTTAATCTGTGCCAACTTTTGGATAGCACAACCTCTTACAACGGTGATTTTCACAGTAGACAACACATTGAAAGAAGATCCTTACCCAGTTCATGAGGAAACTCTTCACACAAGATGGCTATAGAGGTACTAAGCCCTTGGAACAGAGACAACGTGAAAGAAGCACCAATAGCCAAACCATCTATGAAATTATGTACAGCATCACTCAGTGTCACCATCCACGCAATGGTCCCAATCTTTGACAGTGGGCGCCCTTTAAGACACTTGCATAAGCTGCCTTGGGTGGCTTCTTCCTGGAAAAAAAAAAATGTAAAACCACAAAAAAACACATAAAACCCTGAATAAAGCATCCAACGAACCACACTTCTGTCTTTAAATAAATGTCAAGTATAAAATAAAGCATTACTTCGTGTGGAGGCCAAAATGCTCGGTCCAAGACGCAAAAGACACAGTGAGCAGCACCAAATGTTTTCTGTTTCAACAAGTTAACACACAAGGTCAAATTTTCTGACTACAAGGTCCAAGCTTCTGACTGCACAACTTCATCTGAATGCCCTTCAGCTGAGACAGAAAGCCATTCAGACCATAGTGGTCTGAAGTTTTCTCTGGAGTCTCTGTTAGATTGAGAGAGTGTCAAGGCTCCTCACAGCCTCCTCAGCCACCTCTAGTAAGTCTGTACAGTAAGAAGGACCTGATCACAGCGACTGACAGCATCTGTATTTCCTACCTAAAACACATCTGGACCAGTTTCCAGCACCTCATGCTCTCAGAGACACACTTCACTGCCACAGTAATAGCCAGGTACACGTGGATATCAAGTCCAGCTATTCAAATTCAAGTTCAGCTATTAAAATTAGTTTCTACAAAGTACATGTTTAATAAAAGCATCAGTGGGTAATTCTGACTGTGCAAGTTGAAGGCTTAGAGCATGAAGACAAAAGGCTAATAAAAAACTGCAGTGTAAATACACACCAGGGATCTCAATAATTCCTCCTGACATTTTAGCTGGGAACACAAACTAACCTCCCTTAAAAACCTCCTGATGATTCTGACCCATTCAGATAAATTTCTTAACACACATATACTGTAGTTACATAATATTTGCCAACATTATAATACTTTCCTCCTTAAAAAAAAAAAAAATTGCATAGAGGGCATTAACTACTGCTTCCTTACTGGAATAAGTAAGCAGTAATGTATACGTCTGTGTGCTCATAGACATATTTATACACCTCACCTCTTGTAGGAAAAGGGTGTAGAGGAACACATCTTCCTCCTTATGAAAAGGTCACAGATTATTCTAAGAAATTTTCCTTAGTTATGAAACAAAACATTGCAGATTGCTTCAGTTTTCCCATATCAAATGTAAATACTACTAGCCAACTGAATTTTTAACTTCATGGAAATGCAATGCTCAGTGGATTCTCTAAAATTCTTTAAAGACAGAACAGTAAGGCCTGTCTCATTATTTACTCACAGGACTCTGATCTGACATACTACATCCTTGTATGTAAGAGCTGCCTCAGAATTAGAAAGTTCAGGTCAGGGATTTCTGAGTCAGATGTCTATTGCATTAGTTGGAACTTGTAGCTAACAAAGCCTTGGTTAAGCAGTGCCACAACTGTCATAAAGCACACTTACAGCTCCTTTTCAGTTCATAGGAAGTCCTGAATTTATACTTTTATGATGTGAAAACAAGCAGTGGCATCCAAAAATTGAAAGTTTCCCTCCCAATTCAAACATATGTTTTTGACTTGTACTACATGCTTCCCTTCAGGTTTTGGAGGTTTTCCTCTCAACATGTCATCTAACACAAGCAATGGCAATCATGTTTTAGGATTACTAATTTGTACTTGTACTAATTCTGTTTGAGATAGGATCACTTACAAGTAACAGACCTCTCTCAATCCACAATGGCAACTTGAACTTCACTTTAAGAAAGAACTGTTACAAAGCAAACCACAAAAAAAAAAAAAAAAAAAACAAAAAAAAACCCCCCATGAAATAGATAACTGGAAGCAAAAAGAAGCATGAGTATGAGAAAATCTAAATACAATTAGTGAAGCTCTTCCATCTATTCATCCAGCTCCCTGGGTTGAAGTTCTGTTCCTCTATGTTTCTCTCTGTTCCTTGGTGACCATGCTCCACACTGCCTAAGAACCGATGAAGGCACCATTGTACACAACAGAAATCATCCTAATTTCTGCCAAAAGCACACTATCTTTCTTGGGCATGCTTCTAGCTTCACTGAGGAAAGGGAGTTTGAGATAATCCACAGATTTTCATTTTGAATAGTTCATTTTTCTACTAAAAAAAGAATATTGTTCTCTCAGAAACCACAAAGACAAAACCCCCAACAAAACCAGCAAGTATTTTCTGATAAAGCAACAATATTATTCACCGGAGACTGTATTTTGAAGGTATATTAGTAGCTTCTACTATAAATGGGAAGGAGAGGCGGTGGTGGTTTTTGTGCTGTAAAAAAATTTCTGCTACCAAAAAAATCTCACTTCAAATGCCAAGCATCTCCACAAACGGTTTTATGAAAAGTTCAGTATGATGAAAATTGCTAAAAGAGCAACAAAAACAGCGAGCAAATCATACAAATGTGCAAAAATGTCGCTTGTACATGCTTGTTTATCTTTGTTCCTATCAGAACACATTTGTCTTTATGGGGGAACCATGTGTGTGGCTGCAGTTTTCTGAGGGCTGTAGGGGCATAACTAGCTTAAGCCACAGAATGAAGTAAAGGACCTATTTTCTGGTACCAGTTGCACAGCTGTGAATTCCAATGACAGTCCAAAGCATTGCATGTGTATGACAAACATAAAAATCTAGTCTGATGGCTTTTTTTGTTGAAAGAAATAATTTACAAATATACATACTGAGCTTTCTATCCACATATGGAGAAAATGAATATTGAGTGAATAATTAGCTGCTGAACTCATCAAGAATGGAACTGGCTCTAGAAATGTGCTGAGGTTGGGGTTGTCTTATCTACATACTTCTGGTTTTTAAGTAATTGCAATTAATTTAGGAGAACAGTATTGATTTACTTCTAAAAACTACTTTCTTAATCCAATCTTTCAAAATGCAGAAAGATCTGTAGTTTATAAAATAGGGCTCAGTTTCTGAAAAGCTTCTATAATATATATCTGCCATTTACTGTGTAGCTTTGAAGTATCATAATTCTTGCCTGGAATTTATTTTAGATAATGTCTTGATTTCTTCTGTAAATTATATACAGCACAATGACAGTGCTTGTCTGGGTTTACATTCTGAACTTTACTAGATTGTGTGTCCAATAGAAGTGGAAGAAAGACTAATCCATATTCACAGTGCTTAAGATAAGGCAGACTACTGACAAATTTATTCTACAAATACATAAGATTCTAAGGCAAAAATCAAACGATGTCTGTCTCTGCTGGACTGTTCCCCATTTGTCATGGTAGTTTAGCAGGCATCAAAGAAGAGATGTCAGTTAAGGAGCGCTGTAAAACCCACCTGGACTATCAGGTCTTTTATTAATTACTAGTGCAGTTCTGTATTATTTATATCTCCACAATTTATGGTAAATAAAAGACATCCTTGGTATTTTTGCTCTCCCAAAGATATTTTTTCTTTAAAAGTAATGTCTCTCCTTTGTTCCCAAACTTAAGAAATTATACAGAGACCCTCTTGTTTTACCCTATGATATCTCATCAGATTGCTCTTGCTATTTCTAACGCATCTCATGACTCCCTCAGGCACAAACCAGACATGTCCTTTTGTGTCCTCTGAAAGTGCCCACAGGACCAAGAAGGAATACTGACACTGTCTCCAGGGCATAAAAAAAGGCCACCATAAAGTTTTGTTGTACAACTCTAACATTGTGCACTCAAGGATACAGATATTTCAGCACTTTATCTCTGAAACAATTTTTCTTCAAAGTTACTGTTGTCAAGTCACCTAATTTTAATGTACAGTGGATATAAATTTGCGATGAATAAAATTTCCAAAGTTGCAATTACTGCTGCAAGTAAAATCTGATAATGTGTGAATAATTAAACATTTAGATTTACTCTGGCAGTCAGTCTTTTAAGGCATTAAAAGAGAGAACATGGCTGGATCTCCAGGACTGAAAGCAGCTACCACACTTTGGTACAATCAGAAATCAAACTCTCTCTTTAAAGCCTACAAGACAATTTCTGGCTACGCTGTGTTTGCCCTCTCTAATAAGCTTTAGATTACATGGACACATTAAAATTCTATGAGGTACATGTTGGCTTATGCCAAATGGTTCCTTCACAAATGCCAAATGTCTATGAAGTTCAGTGCATACCTACCCTCATGGCACTACCCCAGCTCCCTCCAAACCCCTCAGCCTCACTGGCCCTCCCCTGCCCCTTAATGATTCTCAAGGCTCCCTGGCCCCTTTGAACCTGCCTGGAGGAGGAAAAGAATAATGATGACTTTTGTGTTGCTACCGTCACTATCAGCAACAGGTAACTTGCCATTGGGATTTCCTTGCAGCCAGCCTTGGTTCCAGAGTGGATTTTACCCTGTTACTTTCAGGAGATTTTAATGTAACATATTATTTTCCTGGCTTTGGAGTAATGGAGAGGAAGACAGAAAGAATGGAAAACATGAGTTTTCATTAGAACAATAAGTAGAAGAGAAGAACCTTTTTTAAGTTCTTTTAAATTCAAGACTGTAAGTAAAAGGAGATGTGTGAGTATTCCACAAATTTGGATCTTGAGGCGACTTACAATACTTCATGATCAAGAGCACTGCATCTAAACTAGTTGCTAGAAATAAATGCTATATAGTTACATTTTACTATTATAACATATGGTGTGGTTTTGTTACATTGCCATTATGTATAAGCAAATGGGTAACCAAAATGGAATAATGGAATAGATCCAGATAAAACTTTTGGTAAAGAGGGCAGAAAACCATCACCACTGGTGATGCCTGACTCAACAGAGACTGGAGGGTCCTTTTGTTCATTTTACAAATCTACAAAATATAGGTTAGGGACACTCATAATACTAATTCCTTCTTGGTGCTCATGAAATTTTAATTATTAATAATGTTTCTCCTAGTTTTTAAAATGGCAGTATCCCACACACTTCATGACATTTCTGCAGTAAGGACAAGCACAGTTTTGGTAACTGTGTGCATCAAATGCCCTGCCAGCCTGCAAGGTCAATACAGAACCCTTAGATTCTCTTCTGGCTGCTAGGGTCTGCCTCTGGCTTCCTCTCCTGCTCCCCACAAGAAACTTACTGGCTAAAGAACGTGGGTGGTAGAACAAAAATCTCTACTATGAAAAAAATCTGCCTTAGCCATCAGAGAATTATTTCTGTGTGTTTTTATGTTTTTGGAATAAGGGGTAGTGCTGCTCCTCCCTGTACAGGGAAGAGTAAAGAAGCACACCAACTTTTTCTTCCTGCTTCTATTTTCTTCTCAGCCAGAAGGAAGTTGTGTTTGTAGTATGAAAACAAATACAAAGAAATATAGAGAACAAACCTGAAAGAGAATAATACTTAAACCAAGAGGAATGGCTTCTGTTTCAGCATATTGCCTCCATAATTCCCACAATATCCAAATATACTGGACTAACACAAGCAGTGCACACAATATACTGCATGAAAGTTACAGTACTGGTTTTCCTCATTAATCATTGACTGAGACGAAAGAGTTTCTCACAGCATTACATAGTCAGGAACACAACAAGGGTTGTGCAACACCAAAGCATGCTATCACTCTTTTAAGCAAGACAAAAATAAAATCAAAGTCAGCTGAATTATCTGATTAAATATATACCTCTGTCCTGCCCATCTTGACACCAATATCAGTTAGTTCTTTTTGTTGGCCACAAACTAAATGTATCATTCAGCTTTTGTAAGCTTGTCTCAGAACTCCACTTTTTTTTTTTTTTTCTGTAGGGCTTAAGCAATCTATAAGCTGTAAGTTTACAAAAACTTGACAAAAGTAATAACAATTCATACAAATTCCACCCTAACATATGCTTGTATCATTGGCAGGGATAAAATAAATAAACAGACACAATTTTCATACCTGTGCTGAGACCACACTGATGCTGTCAAACCCGAGATTTCCATTGCTTTCTATGACAGCTGAATTTGCGTAGCACGTCCCCCCATTGCTGGATGACAGTGGTTTGGGTGGCTTAGTCTTATCCTGAGAACGATTGTGTTCACCATTTTCAGAGCCATGGCCACTCTAGGTGATAAATAAATATGTAGTTCATTACAACAAAAGCAAAATAGCAAGCATAAGAAAATCAGACCTAAAAAGAAAAGGTGGAGGCATCATATTCATACTGCCTTGATTTCAATGCCAAGTAATGTTTAAATGAGCAGCAGTGAACATTTGAATGTTTAAATGAACTCCAAATGTATCTAAGTTCCTGCCCTATCTCTCACTTTCAGCTAATCAGAATATATAGAATCATAGAATGCCTTATGTGGGGATTTTTCATTTTTATACAACTGACCATAAGTGATCAACATTTGCTAGTTATTTATGGATGCTTGTCAAATAGAGTCTATTAGCCTTTGTCAACTGCTCCCAAAAACAATAAGCAACAAATTCATTTTTTCTATTTTTTTTCATGCATTTAATACAAATGAGGGACGGTTCATGTTCATAATCTCCAATGTCAGCAACAGTTTGGGAGGGGGGACCTTAAGTGAGGTAACAGTAAGAAGACAGGATAGTTTCATTCTCAAGACATGAGCAGAGAGGACCAACAATTTTGAGAGGTCCCTCTCTGAGACAAATCCAGCCTCCCTTATGAGCACACAGAAAACCAGTACTCTGACATATGGGTAGAAAGCAGAGCCCTGTGCAATATGGTAACCGCAGTGTCACAAAAGCAGGTCTGTGTACCAGAGCATGGGGAAGCTGCTGAAGGTGAGATTCAGGCACAGTTACACTTTAGAGATGGCTAAGAAGGTGTATATACATCTCATTAATTTCCCCTGCCCAAAGGGGAGCTCCAGGGGCAGACTCCATTCTCTCCAGCTCTTATATATTTGCACTTTTTTCTGATGTGTTTAGCTAGTACAGCAACGACTTGGCCATTGAGAGCAACTGGAGCAGACGTGAGCAACAGCAGACCACACTCACATTTAGATTCCATTCTCAGCTCTATTTGTAACTCCCTCAAAAAAGAAAGATTGCTTCACCTATCCATATGGATTTTGAACAGATATATCAGAACACAAGGCAAGGCTGAAATCCTCAGATAAAATGGAAAAGAAACCCCCCATTTTATTAATCTATCAAGTATCTTATAAAATATAACAGGTACTTTAAAGCAAGGCTCGTTCATTTAGTTTCATTACCTGGTCATAGATCCTCAATATCACTTTAAGAATCCTTTCCACAAAGAAGAGAATATAGAATCCACCAAACACAGCAACTGCTTTTTCAATATAGTTATCTACTTTTGGTTCAAATCCAAATGCCTAACAGTTAAGAGAAAAACAATGCAAGTTAGTCTGTGATCTTAGCACATTTCCAGGAAAACAAATAAGCAAATCCCCCGCCCCTCTAAACTAATTAGAGACACTCCTCTAAAATACAGGCTGGCTATATACTGACCATTACTTTCCACAAGACTTAAATTATGAAAGACCTTTATCTTCTTAGACTTTTTTCAAACTTGGATTAAATGTTAACAGTATTTTAATTCACTAGAACTTTACATGCAGAATGTAGTAGTAAAGCACACGATGAGGAGGGTCTAATCCACAGCCCATTGAAGTTCACTAGAATTTTATCCAATGCATTTCTCTTTCTGTCTAGAGGCAGAATAGTCCTTGGCATTTCCCATGGCACAACGAGACACAGATGTTGCTGGCTCTGCTCACCCAGCCAAAAAGAGATGGTAGCTTATGGCACTGATATCCACCCACAACTCTTTGGAGACTGCAATCCACACAGAAGCCCACTGCAGTGTGCTTCTAAAATTCATACACTTTAGAAACTAGCATGCAAACCAAATAATTATTCCTCTTGCTTACCTCTGGAATGAGCTGGAAAATTGCATTAGAAAAGAGAGTCCCAATGGCCAAGCCCACAAAGTAGGTTAAAACCTTGGGGAAATATGACTTCTTTAAGAGGGGAGTTAAAATCAATCCCAGAAGCGATGCCAAGTTAATGATAGTCACAGCCAGGAACCCAAATCCCCAGACTGTGGACAAACAAGCAGAAATACAAAATATTTTAGTATAACACCCACTACAGATGTTCGCGATTTTTATAACAGGTAAACGGGCATGAAATTGGGAAAAACAGTGGTGCCTTGGTTGAAATTATACTCCACAAACAGAAAAATCTTAAAATGCATAGATACTTAAGATGCACACCTGCAGAAAGGAAATGTCTGGAAACACTCTCTGGGACTACCATATTGAAAAAGGAAATTGTGCTAGTACAACGTGCGGGATAGCCTGTCTGCTGCTAGTACAAATCAGATCTCTCCACAGTCAAGCAAGAGTAAAAATTAAGGCTTAGGCAAATAGTCAGTGCAGCTATAGCACATTGACATAGACACAAAACAAAACTTCTTACTGCTCCCAGGGTCAGATGCAATTGTAATTTACTCCTAAGAACTTGAAGATAGAAAGCATGCTGTCTTGGCTGTCCTAGATCAAAAAATCTTTCTTGATAAAGGATGACTCCTTCAAATCATCCTGAGGTGGTAAGTTCCTGTTACTAACACTCCTCTTCCTCCTCTAATTTAAAGTAGTTCTGCTGGCTGAAGACACTGCCCACCACTGCTTATGAAAGAGGTGAGGTGGTAAATAGCTGATAGTAGGGACAACTATAATAGAGAAAGTATATAATTAAAAAAAAAAAAAAAGTTTTAAGTTCAAAAAGATGGAGATGTGATTGAGGTACACAATGGGGAAAAGCTTTCCTAGAAAGTGTCAAATGCAGCATAACTTGGTTTCCTCCACCATACGAATAGTGTCAGATTTTTGGACCTCAGACTCCAGGACTTGTACAAAGTCACACCATAATTATTTTGGAGTCTGAATTATAGGTTGGAGGGGTGGGGTTGCTGTTGTTCTTCATAAGCATCACAAAGTTGCACCTCTATGCATGACTACTGTTCTCCCCAGTGACATCTCAGGTTTTAAAGGTTGCACTGAAGAGGTCTACAACACTGCCTTATGTGGTGCCACAGAATCACAAAGTTAGCCACATAGGAATTGGGTTTCTCTATAAAAAATCAACTACAAATAATAATCAAAGCCAACACAACAGTTTGGTATAATCCAGAAAGCTGCATCATTCTAATCTTTATAATGTGCATGTAGAGAAGATACCATAAATTCCTTCCTGCATAGCAGAAATTAACAGGTAAAATTATAATCTGTAGCCTAATTTTCCTGCAACACAACTGGTAAACACACTAAGCTAGATCTCTCACCTGCAACTAGGATGGCTCTTCTTTGCACAGTGTCACAATTTTTATATGTAATGAATTTTATATGGTGTGAAGAAGAGAAAGCATTAGAAACATTTAAAGCATTTGCAGAAGGTAAATCAGGGCAAATTAGAACATTCATTTGCCATTTTTGAGAGAGAGATGCACAGAGAGAGGGAAAAACACAACTAGATGCGGGTAGATTCACGAAGCTACACAGGAGATTACTTTCCATTAAAATAAATTACAATTAAGCTTGTAAATATCTTTTTGAAATCAAATCTATAATAAACAAATGGGCTTCCAATGCCACCATGAGTCACAAACCACTGTTTACTGTTTGGGATTACTACAGAAGCACAAATCTCTTTCATTTTAGTATACAGACAACTCCTACAAATTATTCCATGCAAAACATACATTTTAAACAGAGTTAACAAAATAAAAACCTCATTTATCAGATATGAAGCATTTAGTGTGCTTGCCCAAATTATTAATGAGACTGGGGAAATTAGAACAAGTTTCAAAAATTACAGTTAAAAAAGCCAGTACTAATTACTTTTTATAACAAAAGACAAAGAGGATAAACTAACACATAGTGTGTGCAGATCAGAGGACGATAACAATGGTAAAGAGAATGGGGCTTAAAACCAAGCACAGAAAAATGGGTTATTGCTAAATTGTGAGAGAAGTCCTTACAATATTATTTGCTTCATTAACAAACGGTTTGACTTTCATGCTGGCAGTCTTTGTTCAGAACAGCAAAACATACTGGGACACTTGAAGTTCATGTTCTAAATGTTAAAACTGTCACCATTCTGTACGCTTAAGGCAGTGGGAGATGTCTCATAAGGTACTAAAGGACCTGTATGAACACATTCCAACCCAGTGTAGTATCCCCTTTCGACACAAAAAAAAAAAAAAAGGGAAAAGGAAAAGCCTTTCTTCTTCCTGATTTACCAGAGATTAGGGGTGCCACAAGACAGATGTGGTTTTACTTTTAAAATTCTGTCCTAGATCTGGATGGCCCAAAAAAATTCAGATTTTTCATATTGACATTTTATTTCTGATTTATTCACCCAAAGTGGAAGAATAAGGAAAAATTAAAAGAAACTATTAAATAACCTCAGACAATGAAGGAATAAATTAAGTACTATCCATTGGAGACATTCCATAGATCCTGCAATGTGCTGCAGCAGTACAGGGACTGGTTTCCACTAATGAAATTTCTAAATAATCTAAATCTACGATCTTTCTTACATGTTCTCCACAAAGGTGCTCCTGGGCCTTGTGGAAAGCTTTTTTTGGAGTTCATAAAGACCCAAAGTGTAATTGGGAAAAACAAAACAAACAAACAAACCCAAAATCCAACACCATAATTACACAATTACAGGAACTGGTACTTCAAGAAAAATATCACAAATCAGGGTGGGAGTGAAGGGGGAAGCGGTAAAGTTCCAAAACAACCAACGCTGCCGAAGTTCCTGTGTTATGGACTGTATTTCACAATATCATGTGTTTCAAAATTGGTTTTATTCACCAGGACCCCATCTTTTCATGAGCCCCTGCATTTCAGAAGGCTGGCCAGTTTGACTTCACCTACCAGAGCAGAGCATTCTGCTGAGGATGCACACTCTCCTCCCATGAGACTGATGTCATGGTCAGCTCTAGCCCACTACCATTGTTATTTCTGTCTCTAGAACTGTGGCTCAAACAAAGAGACAGCCTGGATACTCAAAGCCACATGAAATTGAAAACAAAACAAAACAAAACCACCACCAGCAAGAGTGCAAGAAAGATGTCCTCCTTAGAACACCATTGCATAGCATTGCTCCTTATAAGAAGCAGGAACAACTGCTCTAGGTCTCCATGAAGCAGTCTCAGACTTTTCCTCTCTTCCTTAGCCATGTGCTGGGATTAAGAGGCAGTGAGGGTAAGAATATCTTTCTGAAGAAGCCAAGCAAAGTGCAGAGAATCTGTTCACCTTGGACAGAAGGAACGCCACTGGGCATATCCAGCTACTCCACACAGCTCTATACTCCTCCTCATTATCTTTCAGAGAAGTAAGAAAGGGAAGGACACAGCTGTGCCCCAAGGTCAGTTAGGCTAGATAAGAGTTATACTATATCCAGGCTATGTGCTGCCTTTTAACTTCCATTCTGCTTCAGCAGCACCTTTTTTTTCATTGCAAGTAGCTGTTCTTTAAAGCCTGTACTAACTTCTTCTGTATGTCTTTTCCATTCATATTTTGGAGGACAGAATATTGTTAAGCATGTTGGAGTCCCTGGGCAGAAAATTCACAGAAGCACGGCTGGAAACATGCACAGAGGGAGGATTTTGCTTCACTGGCAGTAACTGAAATCAGGTGGTCTCAGTGCTGCCCCAATAGAGGCTCCTTTTGTGATGGGGTCGGGGGGTGTGTAAGTCAACATCTGCATTTGGCACGGGGCCTTTCTGTGACTCTCCCTTCTAAATAAGTATCGCTATGTGTCACAGCCTCATAGACTCACGGTTTTAAAATACCCTAACCATGAGCCTGGCAGATCTCCTGCACTGCAGCCAAGGGATGGGCAGGGAGAAGGCTGCATTGCTTATCTGGCTACTGGACATTGCTTCTGAGCTGGCAGGATAAAAGAAAAACAAGACGGATGGTCTAATAGCTTAGGAGGGTAATGATAGGTCAAGCTTTCCATGCACAATCTACTTAAACCATCCCAAACAGCAAAAAAATAGATTTTTTTTTTTTTTTTAGTACTACTCTCTAGTGCAGACAGTACAGACTTACTGACAATATGTGCCCTCATATGGGATGAGCAATCCATAAAAATCATGAAAAATTAATGCCGTAGTTTCAGTGATTAATCAAATGTAATTTTTTTTTTTTCCACTGGCACAGCTAAGTTTTAGGAATAATCTATAGTTCTTAATAAATATCAGCACTTACATTAATCAGAATGTTTTTAATACCAGTATTTCAAAAGTTATGAAAAAAACACTGCAGAGTCCTGGCTCATAAATACTGACATTAGGCACCCGCTCATCCAGCATCCTAACTTTTAGCTTTAATTCAGCTGACTCCATTAGAACAGTACAATTATTTTGAATACTCAGTCAAACAAATAGGCCATTACATATTTGATCCTTATCAGTGCAATAAACGACTTCATTAACCAGATGAATCTTCCCTGTCCTACATTTTTTACTGCACTGCACAGTTCTGTGCACAATAAATACAGAAGTAATAGTTAGAAAAATAGGAGAAAAGAAGATTAAGGCTACTCAGCCATATGATGATGTTCCATGTGGAGAAGGCAGCACAGAAGATGATGTCAAAGCAGGAGTCAGAGTTTTAAAAGAAAATTAGCATCTTTCCTTAGTAAAACAGTTGTTAACTCCCCTATGTCATGACTCCCACCTGCAAATAGCTCCACTCAAATGCAGACCCCTAATAATTTTACCTGGAGATGCCTTGATACATGGACATCCCACTAAGTCTGATTTCAACCAGCTATTTGCAAGAATCCTTAAGCTTCAAGGCACAAACCATCATCCAACTGAAACAGGTAAGAAAGACTCTTCCTTTAAAGGGTAAATTATTCCGTAACTAGCTAGTTGGTTCTTCCACCATTCTCTAAACCATCTGGAATAGATCACTGGCAAGAGACAGAACATTTGTTTAGATGGCCAACTGACCTGAAACAGCACTTTAATTTTATGTTCCCACTTACAACTATATCCTCCTAAACAAGATATTCCTGTTACGTATAGATTAATGTTTACTATACCCCTAAGAAAACCCTGCTCCAGACACAGTATTAATGCAATCAGTATTAACTAACCTTGTAAAGAATGTGGTTTAGATGTATCTACAAAGTTTTCCTGACGATCACACGGACGAAAAATTAACTGTTGCAAAACAGCAGGACATACTGTAGAGAAGCTTGAATTTGATATGTGACTGTTGTTCGGTAACCCATGCAAAGAAAAAATTTCCTCACCAGTCAAGCACTGCAACAAAGAGAGATTTTGCCAACTTAATACACAGATGCAAACAAGCAAACAAACAAACAAACAAACAAGTCATGCATTGAGACATCCATGAATTACAGCATGAAAATACTGAAACATTCTCAAGGAAGCGTACACAGAGTTTGTACACTGCATGAGAGCACTTTGATTGCTTACTGTGAAGTGAGTATTTTAAGCAAGACAGATTTATCTTTCAGATCAATAAAACATGTTTTAAATAGACATTTGCAAATCTCACACCCTATGAACCAGGACAAGCAAACCTTACAATATATTTGCAAAAATAGCTTTAAAGTAATTTAAATCCCACATAATTATAAAATAATTACATCTAAGAGCAGACTAGATAAGAGTTAAAATCTCAGTGACAGAGTATGTGAGAAAATGGTGGGTAATTAAGTTATTTAATTCATGTAAGTGACCGCTTCTACTTTACAACAATGCTCCTTATTACCTCCCCAGATCAGCAATTGAAGAACAGTCTAAATGTTAGCAGCAATCTAGATTTTTCATTCATTTTATAGCAAGAACTGTTAACAATAAACATTGTTTTGTAAAACCATCCTGGCCTCCAATGAGATAAACTCTTACTTGGGATCTTCACTTTGCCTTCAGCTCAGGACATAACAGTACCTAATCAGTCAAGGGTAAATGTACTGAGCAGTGCTAAACCAGGTCAGGGGCAGGGCTGGTTCATTATTTTCAACCAAAAAGATAAAAAATAAACCATGAAATATCTTAAAATATTCATCTACAGAAAAATTGAATATTTTTATATGAAATGTTCTATACCACTGAAGTCTTTTAACATTTTCTATTTATTCATGTTCATTGTTTCCTACACCAATCAATAAGGAAGGAGTGTTCTTTTTTGAGTGTAAACAAAAGTGATTTGGCTTATTGCTGTACCACAAACACATACCAAGACTGAGTGTCAATACAAAAAAAAAGTCAAACATTTTTCTTCTATATGAGACTTCAAGTTAGAGCACAGAGCACTGGAAGCCTTAGTGAGACATAAAGAAATTGTCACTCCTTGCTCTTTTCAGTGTTGCTAGCCTTCAGATTCCACAGCACTTCTCCAATAATTTGAGATTATTATTTATAAAAGAAATTCCTTCTAGAGATAAGGCAAAGCAACTGCAAGTCATTTACTTCAACAGAGCTGCTTCCAGTTCCATTGATAAATATTTTTCTAATACTGTCCCAAAAATGAAAGGCATGCCCACAGCATTTAAATGTGACTATTTCTGATTTAACTTGGAGGAAGAAAACATGCAGGTCAATTCAAGTAATTTCAGCTAAATTACACCTGGGATGTTTCTGACCCTCCTCTTTAATGACCCAATCTAGCAGAGCACTCAGGTATGTGCTGGAACTTAAGTATAAATTTTGCTAAGGCCATGAACATTAAAGACTCAAATATATACAAGCAATGTGCATATACTTTCATCTTTCAATGTCAATGCTAATGTCGAAGTATCACATATGAAATAAATATAGCTTGACAAAACAGAATTTTGTTGTTGTTGTTTTAAGGCGTGTTGCTCAATGGAAACAGCGCACAGAGAAATCATGACTGAAGATACAATCTTGAACAGCCCAATACACAAACCTCTGGAGTTTTCTAAACTGGTTATGTGCCTAATTATTTGATCATTATAACCCTGCATTATGGAATAATGCAAAATACATGGCTAATAAGTCCAGTGTGAAACAAAGACAGGATAGTCATGGTCTGTAGTAATAGTTTCTGTATGGTGCTTCACGTATCACTGGCTCCTAGAGCCAGTTCTGGAAGTCTACAGTAAAAAGCTCTTAGGAAAGTCAGTAGAAGGTAAGAATTCATAACATAAATATCTCTAAGAGAAATCATTTTTAACTACCTCATGCCTAGAATGGATTACTAGTATTTTAAAATACTAATATATCTAATACTAATATATCAGTATTAATATTAGTCCACAAAAATCCAAACCATGTTGTAGGTAGAAAAACAGATTATTTAGAGAAAATAAATCAGACACAGCATGAATCAGTAAACTTGAGGCTTGTAACTTCGGTCACATACAAAGAAGTGAGAAATACCATTGGACAAGAGCTCTTTTATGTGAAGATGAGAAACAGCATTTTGTTTAATTACTATTATTATTTTGATCAGGGACAAACCCAGAGGATAATGATTCTTATAAGTGACTCATTGTTGTAAGTCACCTCATCCACTCAGTAAACTCCTACACAGATCCAAGAGCTAAAAAGTGAGCTTGCATGAGTTCATTGGCACAATTAAAGGATCAACAAAAAGATTAAATTTAATAGAAGCCTTGGATTTGAGCAACTCATGTTTGCACACTGCAAAACTCTGCATTTATCTTTGATGGATAAATACATTAAGACAGTCACACTGCTGTAAAAACATAAACTATTGATTTTGTAAGACTGACAGAGGCAGAAAGGAAATTTAGCCTCATGGAACAGGGTTCTGAGAATGATGTCCTGGCTCACCAAACTTACTGTCACATCTGTCCCCTGCTACTTTGCAAGCCTTGTCATAGCGATTAGGTGAGGGGACTGGCTGTAATGTGACTGCCATCCAGTGTCTAATAAACAACTGCAAAAAAATATATTGACATAACTGATCAGGTACCTGAACTGTTAAAAAAATAATTTTAAAAATGCTTCAGTCAAAATTTGGGGGGACTTAAATCAGTAGAATTTACAAAACCACAAAATATTCAGACTTTAAAAAAAAACCAAACCATTAACTGGATTATTCAAACAGATGTTTACTTTTCTCCTGGTAAGGCTCTCCCAAAAATTATTGACCAACATGGGATTTTAAAATTATCTTTTTGAGATGGTAAATGAAACAAAGTGATGCCCAGTTACCTAGAATCTCTTTACACCAGTGTCTTTATAAATGAAAAGCAGATGCCAGCTCACCACATCCTTTGAAGTAAGGCATAGGGTAATTGCTCAGACAAAAATAATGCTGAGAGGACCTCTAAATGGAAAATTAACCAAAAAAATGCTACAGTACCCATCATCCTGTAAATGCTTCAGTCCCTTTTCTGATCTGCCATGTTCTTATCTTTGCTCTACCTTTGTTTTAGCTGTAGCATTCCACATGTGAAGTACCAAGACACCCTACAGCAACCTAGACTGCAGTTTCGAGATGTTGCCAGATTGCATACTAGCCTAGCCCACGTCAGGGCTGAGCAGCAGCAGTGAAGAAAGAATGCAGTAAACACCTATCTGACCAGCATCTGGGATTTTTTCTTAGCTTGAGCCTGGCTAAGGCAGAATAGAGACATACGACTGTCTTCCTCAACTTACTTGTAACAAATTAAAGCCTCTAGTGCTGATATGTCACTCAGCACAGGTAAGAACTGGATGCTAGGAGACGATGAGTCAAACCAGACAAAGCTGCCTGAATGCATCTGTGTGCCTTAGAGACTGCACACACCTCCTGGCGTGTGTGAGGCAGATGTTCATGCTGGGAGCTGAAAACTGTCCATGAATGCTGACACTGGCTGAAGATATTGTGGAAATAAGACACTTACAGGGTAGAACAACTAAGTCTATTTATCTTCTCACTGGCCAGGCAGCATCAGAACATGATGTTGGATCAAGACCACAAGACACATTCTGTCAGACCATTCTCTCTTCTTTCAAAAAGCACACACTGTAACTAGTGAAACCCACCCAAAAAAAAAAAAAAAAAAAAAAAAAAAAAAAAAAAAAATCAAAGCAGATACTAGCTTAGTTCCAGCCTCTCTGAAACACTAAAATTACTGTTTTGTGACCCATCTTGAGGTGAAAATGAATTGTGTCTGATCGTGAAGATTAATAAAAACTTTAACTTCATTTTGTCCAAATGTTTTATCTAAAAATTAAAATGCACTACATTGAGACACAATACTCAGGCATACCATCTAGACTGGCATAAATTTAGATTTAGAAAAGTCTAAGAAGGAAATCTGAGCTTGATTTTAGCACCTACTGATTACATCAAAGAACAAAATAAAGGTGACGTTAACAAGCTTTCATTCCAATGCCCATTTACTTTCCTTATGGCTTTTTGACCAGAACTTTTGAGCGTGTAATTTAATTGATCAGCATATGCATGTATGGCTATTATACTGCAATGAACCCAATTATAGAAGATCAAGCGTAGTTTCACGTTTTTAGATCTTGCTAGTAAGGTAAACTACAGAGTGAGCAAACATGCCATCATCTATAGTACTGAAATTGCTCATTTTATCCCTGTTGTTAGGGCTAAAATGTGCTGGAATTCCACAGTAAAATGTGAAGAAACAGTAGCATCCAGTATTTGAGTTTACTCAGTTATTACTTATTTCTCTGACAGGAAGTCTTAGCTTATATATTAAGAAAAGGTCATAAAAATTGAAAAGCAAAGAAAATATAAACACAAAGATAACCATAAATGTGCATGATAAAAGAAAAAAATAAATGAAGAAAAAGCATAAAGATTTGGAGACAGTTCAGTCAAAAATTCCAAAACAGGAATAATAATTTTTTAAAGAATTTTGGGGTTTTTTTGTCTTTTCACAGAATCACAGAATGTTAGGGGTTGGAAGGGACCTCAAAAAATCATCTAGTCCAACCCCCGTGCCAGAGCAGGACCACCTAGAGCAGGTCACATAGGAAATCATAAGACATAAGTTGCCATAAATGCCTGAATGAGACTACAGTCAAACACGATCATCGACAAATTAAATAATTTTTTCTTCTCCCTTATCTTTTCAAGTCAACCTCAATCAAAGACAAACAAAAATCAAGAATCTTCTGGTTTATACATCCTCCTCTTGTGAGATGAATAGGCTTACCAAAATTGTTATGAATTACACATTAAAACTGGACACCAGTACTGGGATAAAACTGACAGAGACTGTTCTTTACTGCCAGTTTTTTTCAGTGCTGTATCACCTGTGCCTTACAGATCAGCTCTTCACTAA